CGCTTCTGGTTACCACAATCAGTTACGTTTACTTACACACTGACACGGGAGTTCCAGTTACTGGAGTAAAGTTAACAGATCGAGTTACGGGAAGGTGGTCAGTTTCAGTTAATTACCACGGTGAATAGCATGTTGACCTCTTACAGCTCCTATTACTACCGTAGCAGTCATTGAAGTACTGTTTTCCCCCAAATAGAAGGTACGGTTCTACGGGACATCCATTAAAACTGGAACATACAGAGAAAATTTGCATGGGCGCTGCGCAAGGATGACACACATAAAAAAAAAAAAAGAACGTCCGATCAAGAGAGCCTGTATCTGGACTGAAAGTTCCCCTGAATACAGCTATACAATGACTGTACCTTCTATTGGGAGGAAGACAGCAGTGGTCATTACCCGTCGATTCAGTGTGCCGAGCTCCAGATAGTTACGCTTGTTGATCCATTAGACTGCATTGCAGTTACTACATTGAGTCAAAGATATGTAATACGACAGAGTTAGGTGAGCTCAGTTAACAGCAATCCATCAGTAAAAAACAACTTCTAGTCATCTGAGCATGCATATGCTTCAGTTAGTTAACGCTGGCTGGGAAAAAGAATCGACAGGGGATTTCACAATTTCAATCAAAAAGCTATCGTCGCCCACAGGGGATTTCACATATATAAATTAACATAATGTTACAAATTACAACAGATGTTGCAACTCAAAATAACAAGCAGCTCATACCAACCACTCATTCTCACCAGCAATTTCAGTCTTCAACCATTTGCCATACGTGCGTGTCATCTTTGGGTGTCCAGCAATTCTGTATCGGTTGAATTGTACAGCACATGGGGCCAGGTTCACTTTCGCAAGCCATGAAACTGCAAGCACTTAAATAATTCAAAAGAAATGAAAATACGTATCCGCAAGAACCAATCAATCAACACATTCAAGACTGAAAAAAAAGGGAAAAAAAAAAGATCAAGCAACAGTGATTTACTAACGCAAATTATTAACATCCGGGGAGATACAACCAGTGGTCATAAGTGACTCCACATATAGATATATAGCTAGAAAACAGTAATTAATAATTACTAATTTTAGTAATTTACTAATTTACTAATTAAATTTATTACTAATTTTAGTATTTTACAATTTTACCATTGGGCTGCCCAGCTGTCAGCAAAAACCACAGTTTGATCTAACAGAAATCAGACAATTTGGACACGTCCATTTCCATCCACCGGGTCTAAAAAGTTTGCCTCATCCTTCTAGCATTAGCTGCATTACCCACTTCGGGACATCTATACATGTTTCCCCTCTCCCCCCCCCCCCCCCCCCCCCTGCTGCTACATATCTTTCTCATGTTTACTACCTTTTTTTTTTTTTTTTTTTTTTTTTTTTTTTTTTTTTTTTAGCTCAAATATCATATAATATAATTAATCTTACAAATCACAATCAGTGTTTACCAGTATGGAAAGTAATCTCTTAACCACAAATTAACTGTCATTAACAGCAGCGATCAAGCAGCAGCGCTCAACAATTATTTCAAACAACATTTTCATGCACTCGTTTAATTGGTGCCATCATGCCATTCCCTTTCCCCCATCTACGCCTTCCCCCTCCCCCCCCCTCCTCCCCTCTCCAAATTACACACACACACACACACACACACACACACACACACACACGTGCAGCAAAAGTAAAATCAACAGCTCGTATCTGTATGTATTATGGTGGAAAGAAGTACAAGTACAGACTAGTTTCTGTCCGCTGCAAGCATTGGACACACTCACACGCGTGACACATACGCACACAGTGGGACAACGTGTGCCCTGCGTGTTGCTGGAAAGTAGAGCCAGTACACAGCTGATGCGTATGTTGCTTTCATCGAGGCCAACAAATATGCCGCGCCGTTAGCATACGTTTCGACGACTGCCAACAAGGGTCGCAAAAGTATCGCCTACCTGGGTAACTCGGAGTTCAAACAAACGCAGTGGGATAAGTTTCTGCTTCCTGTGTTCCAGAGCCTGCTCTGTCATCTTCACCTTTAGCATCCATGGCTCCTTTGCATTCCTCTTCGTATATGACACGTGCTGTGGATTATGGACCTCAAAAATAGCTTCCACAGCCACACATCCAATCGTGAAGTGACCTCAGCATACCCACATTATCATCTGTCGCCCGTTGACTTGTACCGAAACCCTACTGCAATGACTCTCTCTCTCTCTCTCTCTCTCTCTCTCTCTCTCTCTCTCTCTCTCTCTCTCTCTCTCT